ATCGCTTCCAAGTTGACAAAGTTTCTTCGCGTTCTAGGCGATTAGGCCTTGGAGGCGCGCTGACATTATTGGCCAAAAAGCCAAAGATGTCGGTTCTGGATAAATCCAATCTCGATTGGGCAAGTTTCAAAGAGGAACATCATCTCAAGGTGTGTTTATATTCTCGTACGGTGATATCCTCGATATTTTTCCCACCTAGTGGTCATCAGTCTGTATTTGATATTGTCTTATAGGAGGAATTGGAAACTTTCAATCGCGGCAAGAATGGATATCTGGATAGAATGGAGTTTTTGTCGAGGACAGACTACAGAGAGTTTGAAAAAGAGAAGGCAGTACGAAATTCATTGCGGAAACCCCTTTGAATGTCTTTAAAGCACATTTCCACATTTTAATGTACGTGTGTTATACTGTGACTCAACCTTTGCACAGCGCGATAGGGTGTTATGCTTGATTTCGTAATCACTACATCGCTGACCTGTGTTTGTTATTTTGCACAGTTATAGACCATATTATCAAGTTCAATAATAATTGTTGAAATTATGAGTTGTATATATTATGTGACATTGAAGCTACTGCTCGTAACAGTAAGCTTAATTTATGTGTTTTATTAGTTATGTTATTTTGCATCTTGTAAACCGTACGTTCCTATGCGTTAGATCTGGCAGACCAATAGTGGTGGCTGACATCCATGACTTCACTCACTTTGCATCACGTCTTTTCTGTTTTTTACTTTTGTTTGAAAATTGGTTGTTCTTGGAAAATACGTAGAAATTGGGGTGAATTCGTATCCCTAGTGAGTGAAGATGTTCCATGAAAACTACTAATACTTCTTTATAATCGATTTTCTAAACAAAATTATTATAAGCTTGAGTCTGAAGATCTCATCAAGTATAGCTGCTTTCTCAGATTTCAAAAGCGTTTCCATTAGGCAGTCAAGGAAGAGATAATAATTTTTATTATCAGGGAGTCAGGAGTTTCGTCTTAGAATACCTATCAGATTCAAGTTTAGATGTTACCAAGCAATCCAGCAATCCTCGCGTTAGTCGATAACTTTTTTTTCTACCTCGCATGCAAAGCCAGATGCCACCCTACTTACACCAGTCGGCTT